GCAGAAGGAAATCATCAGCAGTTTTCAGGACAGAGACAACCAAGACAATCCAAGACCTGTGACAGCTGCCCTCGGCGGGCCTCGGAAATCCTGGTCTATATCTACAAAGCTCCTTCCAAGGCCAGGGTCCGTCCCAAGAGTGCAGCACAATGGCACCCGCAGGCCAGGCTGGTCTGTGGATTCTGTCCTGCTGCAGCAGCTTCTGGCTTCATCTTTCTCATCCAAAGGCTTCCACAAGTCAAGCAGCAAGTACAGCGGCCCCAGCTTCGCATCCCCTCTCCACGTGAACACTACAGTCTGACAACCATTACAAGCACTACACAAGTGTTTATGCTCTCCACAAGTAGTTAGGATCAGCTCACGCTAATCCACAGCGTGCACCAGCTGCCTGCTGCGCTTGGTGCAGCTCTGTCAGAGCTCAAGGGGGGTGCAGCGCCAACTCGCCCCAAACCTGACAATCTAGTCAGTGCACTTGAAAGGAGACTGCGCCATGATGTGAACTGCCGGAATGACCTGACTGGTTCCACAGCAGCACCCCGGGAAAGCTGCGTGGGGATCGTTCCTCTTAAAAAAAAGAGTCAAAGTGCAGTTTCACAGGCGTTTCTAATGGTGTCCGTGCTGGCTGTGCAGCCGCTGCTCCCCGCAGCCTTTCTCCTCTGCTCTCTCACTCCTACCCCGGCATCGCACCTCACAGCCCTGACAGCTGTTTCTGCTGCTGGGGGTGACCAAACAGAGCAACCCACTGGCGAAAATGCACAAAAAAGGTGCAGAAAATGCCGTGCCAGTCGTCCTCAGCTGCTGGTTTATTGTACAACGGTGCAAGCTGCTTCACCACTTCAAGAGAGGGCACAGTGCACGTGCGGGAGGCGAGAGCAGAGGCAGATGTCCCACAGCAGTCCCATGTACTTTGACCATTCTCTTAACAGGTATTTCAGTGGCACTTTCCTACCACCCCATTCAATTTGAGTGCAGCAGGTTACTGCCAATGCAGAGAAACAGTGATTTCTACATCCACACAGCGAGGAAGGAGAAGCAAGCAGACACTGTAACAGCTCTATCAGTGCAAACCACTTTTACAATTATAGGCAGGCCTGAACATATTTGCACGCTCCCATCCTATGGCAGCCTCGGCAGTTTCTATGGTTAACAAAGAGTTACGTTAACAAAACAAGGTAAAAGCAGGCCTACCAACTTAAGCACAAGCTATCAGCTCCCGGCAGTGAATACTCCACCAACATACACTTAACATCTGCCACACGCACACACACAAGACTTGATTTTTGCAAGCTGTGATCCAATCTGATAGATCAGTGGAATGAGGTGTGACAGTAATGTTAAGCACACACGTAACTACTT